AATACAGCAGCTGCCACTCACTGAATGCTTTCTGCCAGCCGAGCATTAGCCTCAGAACTGTCCATACATTATCTCGCTTCATCCTAGGGTGACTTTGCAAAGTATGTATGACTAGTATCCCTCCTTTCTAGACGGAGGCTCGAAAGTCCGTGGAAGTTGAAGTAACTCTCCCAGGATGCTAATCCACTCAGCTGCGTGCTGACTAACCCCAGCTCGGGGAATAACTCTACGATTCCCAGTTTATCTACTGCTCCTTGAGCACACACTTGCTATAAACCTTGTCCTTGGGTAAAAACAACCTTAATGTTAGCATAGACGCGTCATTACTCCTAAACCCAGCCCTTAAGCAAATTCCTCCGCATTCCCTCCGGGTCTGGGTAAGTGCGTGGAGACCCGCCTGTGTTGCAGCAGCCCAGGCCCACGCTGCTGTCCGTCAGTCCTGCAGTAAAACGTCCTGTGCTGACAAACTGGATTTGCCTGCCTCGTTCTTTGGTTTCCCGGCTCCTTCTGCATTTGGGGGTCACTTTGCATACATGGCCCCTTCACAAAACACAGTCAGAGAGGTAAAATAATTTGTCCAAAGCCAATACTTTGGCCATGATCAAAATCAGGTCTCTCTGCAGGGCAGGCAGCTCATATTAATACAGCTGCACCAGCTATTAAAATATTGAAATAGTTTTGCACCGGCTGGTAAATAGCCACTTCTCAGCCCTCCCAGTGCTCTGTCCCCTTCCCACTGCCCCAGCCACCCTGGAGCCCTGCCAAGGCCCTCCCACCTTCCCCCAATGCAGAACCAACAGTGCAGACCCTGCCCATCTCTGCATCCTGACTGGCCATGCCCATGTCCCTGCCTTGCTGGTTGTTAAATATTTTAATGTCACTTACACCTGTGGGCCTGCAAGTCCATGCTCCTGTATGCAGAGATGTTAGGAAAATAGAGTGGATGACTGAGTGAAGACTGACTGCAGCGCAGGTCTATAACCTCCGGGCCTGGTCTTCCTCCCAGGCCCCCAGTGCTAATTGCGGGTTCAGTAGGATCCGGGCCCTCCTCACTGCATGGGGCGAGCTCAGTGTGCCATTTAGCACTGTGGCTCCCGTCTCCTGCACAGCACTGGGACCTGCACAAGCCCAGATAAACCCTGAGAAGACATCAGAATGAAGACACCAGAAAAACAACTTCCCATGGAGTTGTCTCCTATCCAGCTGTTTACCAAACTTGCCATTGTCACCAGGTACTTAGAAAGCCTCTCACGTATAACTAAGCAATGGAGATCTCACCCAGTTTCTCACGACAACCAGGAGAAATGGGTTAACTTTGCTCGCGTTGTAAGAGCGAGAGGCCCGAGCACTGCACGGGGTGAGCAGCGTTCCCAGGCACTCTGGCAAATTAGAACAAGCTCCTCCCGAGTGCACTGCTTAGCTGGGAAACCCCGCCGCCTTTCCGATTTGACCTAAATTAAATTCTTGGAAATCATTTCATATTCTTATTACGAGTGTGACTTCAAGTAAGTGAACATATTCACCTCAAATATTTGGGTCCAAGAAATGTTTTGGCTTAAAGGAAACAATTGGGGGTGGGGAAAAAAGGAATTTTGTTTAATTTTAGTCATTCTATTGTTTCTCTTACTTTCCTCCTAGTTAAAACATTTAGCGTCACAAAAGAATGAGGAGGAGGATGTACGGTTAGTACCGGCAGAGAACCGAGTTTGAAATGAAGCAAACATAGGCAACTGGGAACTCTTTCCCAATCCATAGGCAACTGGGAACTCTTTCCCAGTTGCCTATGGACACACGCCCAAAATATGTCTCAGAGTCATTACAAGTAAATCGCTGTCCGTGAGTGGCATGACCGAGACTCGCGGGGTTATTCCCAGTGCAGGGAATTCCAGGGCTGTACAGTGCAGTGTTTGCTCCAGACGCCAACAAGCGGCGCTGGAGCAGGGGCGGGGGTGCCCCCAGTGGGGGCTGCTGGAGGAGAAATAGAAGGGGTTAAAACCATGCTCCCCACCAAGCCGCTCCCCCTGCAATCGCCCCCAGCTCTGCAGCCCTGCAAGGCTCTGCACTGGGGCAGACCCAGCTGCCAGCTCTCTGTGCAGGGTTCTTTCCGTCACACGCCAGGAGCCTCCAGGACATCCTCCTCTTCTGACCTGGGTGTGAATCCCGCCAAGGCCACTCTTCAGACCACCATTGCAGACTCCACACCACTCCACCGCGAAACTGAGGTTCATCCCAGTGCTGGCTTTGAGCGTTTCCTCTTCGCCGCTCCAACTCACCGTCTCATGCCGCCTGTTCCACGCATCCGAGTTCTGTGCCTCCCCTCCTGGAATGCGATGGCTTCGGCCACCAGAACCGGAGCCTGTCTGCAACGTCACCACACTACACTGGTTTATTTCGGCAGCGTCAACCCAGCGGCCTGTGTAAACGTGCGTGCTAGCTGGCTGGGTACAGGATCGCAGAGTGTGGGCACCTTCTGATTTGACTCAGCAGAGGTGCCAAGGTAGATCAGTTGTCAATCTTCCTTTTTGATCCGCAAAAAGCGTTTGAGGACTAATTTAAGCATCAGCAGTAGATAACGTGAATAGAACGCTTTTCAACTTCCGCTATTATGATATTTTTTAAAATTGAATCAGGTGTTTCAACTAAATTCACATCTAAGATTAACTGGCCTGCCCCTTTTCAAATTCTTTAAATCTCTGTTAGAAAAATCTAAGCTCTTTAAACCTTTAAATCAAAACAGTGTTGACTTTTAAATACTTGAAGCTAAAATAAGCTCTGAAGAATTTAGAGAAACCTCTGGCAGCACATAGCTCAGGCTTACTTTTCATTGAATCTTCCAAGTTTTTCATTAAATTATCAACTTGCTTTTTCTCCAGAGTCTTTGGAAGACATTTCCTGGATAAAAGCCTAAAAAAATACCTTAAATTCAGATGTATTGAAGCTCGTCCACAAATCTCCAACCAATGTGCATACACAAACACACAGAGAGTCCATCTTCATGTTTAAATTCTTAGCTGAAGATTTTAACAACAACAAAAAAAGTTACCTTGATTGTACTGTACTTACATATACATTTAATATTCTTAAATACGTTATATAATTGGTCACACATTCATGTATGGACAATAAATATCACTTTAACTTATGCTTCAGGCACCTTGGTCAAAATAAGATTATGAAATAATTTCTAAGAATTTATTGTTTCTTTCCTCAGATTAATCCCCTTAGGATAACTAAATTATTTAATATTATATTTTAATCTTCTTTTATTCTTAGCCATCTGGATTAAAATATTTCTTTCATAACAGAAATTATTCCATTGCTCTGTTCTCAAAAGCAGGGCTGCATCGAGCACCTCTTTGTATCCAAGTGCCCAAAACAGCACCTGGTTTAGAGTAGCTGTTCAAGAAATAAATCTTTGTAAAGTAAGCAAACAATTTTGAAGGACTGGTCTTTTTGGAGAAAATAAGAAGCTCTTTTGACCAAAACTGTACAATAAAAGGGCTTTGAATCATTCTTCTGATGCATATATGATAAACTGCATCTTTTCAAAAACTAAATTATATTGTGTCTATTTGAGATTCACAACGTGAAGTCATAGGATACATAGAGATAGTAAGGTGCTTACTATAGTGAAGTGGATTAACATAAACTACACCTTAATAGAAAATATGTAGACATGAAACACATGCCAACGTATCTAGCTTAGGCTTCTGGGTATGCCAATAAATAAGAAAAATATCTGTGCATTTTAGATATATTCTCTCATGCTTTAAAGTTTTCAAACAACAAGCAAAAACCACAAAGTGGAGATGAAGGATCTGGAAGTATGTGAAAGCAGTGAGTTTGCAGAGTTGGTGGATTTGTGCTAGGCTGTAATTGATCCTCCGGCAACGACGGCATCATGGAAGTGGGGGGTATCTTGACACAATTTGGCTTTTGCATATTACATTTATCCAGCAGTAAGAAAGATGCGTGCCCAGTCGACTTTTCTCCTGGTCTGGGAAAGCCAGAGTCTCTCTTTCTGCAGCGGAAGGACAAAGGACTTCGGGGAATGCTGGTTCTGACACGGAACGCCTCCTTCTGACGCGACTGGGAGAA